ATATATATATATATATATATATATATATATATATATATATATATATAGTGTGTGAAATAAGGTGTGTGCTATTAGATTGTGTTATCTAACATAATTTAAGACAATTGTTCGCAAATATATATATATAAGAATATATTTATAGAATTTATTTATTTAATTTTTATAATTGGAAAACTTTCAATATTTGTACTTTTAATTTAATAAATATCAAATAATTAATATTAAATATTTTACTTTCCATTTGAATGACAGAGAAAATTATTTTATTATTAACAACAAAATAATACTTTTTTAATTATATAACATTATTGTAAAAATTACTTCAATTACATTATTCCACAATATTATAGGAAAGAAATTGATTTTATTTTGATAAATATTCTCACACTTATGGCTTATCACGAAGCTCTTTATAAGTTACAAAATTCAACATCAGATGTCACAACGCGTCAAATTTCTTTCACGATTGGTTGACAATTCTACTGATAGATAGCGTTGCTAGTGGGTTTTTTTTGTTATTCATAAAAAGGACAGAAAAAAAAAGCAAATAAAAACTCGCATTTTATACCGGTCACATTTACAATATTATTCTGATATATTTACGTCTTTAATAAAGTTCATATAATCATAAAAGATAAAGCAAATAAGCATCGTTGTATAGTGATCAATTTAGTGATGTAACGTCAATAAAAGTTACAAATATTTAGTAATATTTGTTAATAACAAGAAATAAACAACTATAAATGCAGAGAGTAAATGATACATATATAAAGAAAGAAATAACAGTTGTGAATAATTTCAAGTGATAAATATTTTTGTATTTTTGTAGATATCTGCTTACGTACGAACTTTGAATTCAACTTTCATTCAATCATTCGTTCCATACTTGACTACCAGAACCATGGCAAGCAATAATGATGCAAAGACATCTTTTGAAAATAAAAAGCGTAAGAAATGTATATCTTTCTATTTAATTGAAACAACAAATATTTTTCTCATTAATTTATTTTTTCATCAAATTCATTATTTCATATAATTTATTATTAATTAAAATATACATATATATCTTTTTTTCTGTACTTAATTAGAGGAATACATGAACATGTCATTAGAAGAAAGAAAGAAATCATTTAAATCAACTACAAAGAGCATTAATGAAATACCAACGTGGGCAGAATATTGGTTTAAGAATAAATCAATTATAAGCGTTAAAGTTTCTAATCAAAATGCCAAAGCTGGCATGGATGTTGCCAAAAAGATTTCCTTTTGGATGGGAGACATTACCACTCTCGAGGTAGATGCAATTGTCAACGCAGCTAATTCGGTCTTAATACCTGGCGGAGGAGGTATTAAAGAATGGGTTTCAGCGAAAAGTATGATCCTACATTATTTGTCATATTTGAGAATGTTAAATGTTCTTCAGTCGACGGTGCTATTCACAAAGCTGCTGGACCTTATTTGAAAATGGAATGTGCCACGTTAGGGAGATGTCCTGCCGGAGAAGCTAAAATCACTGGAGGATATAGTTTACCAGCTAAATGTTTGTAACATATTATTATACATTTATTTCATTGATTTTGTTTAACATTTTTTCTCTTATTGTAACTTTATAGAAGTTATATTTTAGATGTCATTCATACCGTTGGTCCAGTTGGAAAGATACCTGAGGTATTGGAAAAATGCTATAAGAATTGTCTCGATTTGGCAAAAGTTTATGGATTAAGAACCATAGCATTCCCATGTATATCTACAGGAGTTTATGGTTATCCACAAGAAGCAGCAGCTCGAGTGGCTTTGTCTACAGTCACAAATTATCTTATTAATGATATAGATAGCGTAAGAATTATTTAACAAATTTTACATCATTCTTGATAGATACGATAAAAGTAAAAAGAATGAATTATCTCAAGAAAATAACATACAAGGATACAAATGTATTTAATATTTTATTATAATTGCAGATGGACCGAGTAATCTTTTGCCTCTTTTTAAACAGTGATAAAGAAATATACGAGAAATTGTTACCAAGTTATTTTGATCTGAACTAAATACAACTAGCAGTTAAGTTTATATTTAGGTATTATTTTATTAGTTACATTCAATCAAATAAAATTGTATTTAAATATCTTTAATATTATTCGCATAAAATATTAAATCGAATAGAGTGGATTTTCCTTGATCCCATCTGCTGATAAAGATTCCATGTAACTATAACGTTCTATCTTTTTCTCTTTTTCTTTATTTACAGAAAAACATGGCATAGTCTCAAGAAAATAAATATTAACATTTCTAAAATCTAATATTTAGATAATTCTACCCAAGAAGAAATTTCAATTCAAAAATTCGCGGCATTCAAAAGAAGACCAATGGCGAGTTCGAGTCAGCGATCATAGCGCCAGAGTTTCGAACGCTGACCGCGTCTGGTATCCAACGACGGCGCGCCGCCATTTTGAAAAATCGAAGTGTGGTAATGTCTGTATGTGGTAATAGGTGGGGGACTGGGTCGTTAATGTCGATGATCATCTTGTGCGGAAAATCCGTCACAAATGGGTAAATATCGTACATTTTAAAAGTGATAAGGGAAAGGGATGGATAATTAGAATATATTATTCGCGTTATTTCGAGGGTAATTTATAAGATTGTGAGGAGACCGCTGTGGTGGATATGATCGCACACCCATCGTCGTCCTCGTCCTCGTCGTCGTCGTCGTCGTCGTCGTCGTCGTCGTCGTCAACGTAGTGATCATCGTCGTTGTCGTCGTTGTCGTTGTCGTCATCCTCGTCGTTGTCGTCAAATGGTTTTAGTGTAAATTATAAATTTATAAGTGTTAATCGTGGTAATTAATCAAAATCACGATGAGTTAGTAAAGTAAGTAGTGTCTACAAATTTCTGATCGCGTTTTTTTTTTCTCTTTCTTTACTGGTAACCTCGCAAAAGGTACTCTGTTACGTTCTGTCTCTCTTTCTCTCTCTCTCTCTCTCTCTCTCTCTTTCTCTTTCTCTCTTTCTCGGTTAGTTTGATCGGAGGGTGCGCTCTTTCGAAGGTAGTGAGCGAACAGTGAGGAGAGAGCTGTCGGTGTCGCGGCGGCGAGAGTAGTACGGGTGTCTTTTCCTCGTACACGGGTGTCGCGACATCGTCGTCTCCTCCCTTCGTATAAAAGGAGACGACAAAAAGAAAGGAAGGAAGAAAGAGAGAAAGAAAGAAAGAAAGAAAGAAAGAAAGAGTTGAGAAGGACGAATAATTACGCGAGTGTGTATATATACGTGTATTACAATAATATGTTTGTGTGATGATATTGGTTGCTGTTGGACGGTAAAATAAAGATCTGTTCTAAGGAAAGAGTTAAAAAGTTAGAAAACAGCCGTCAAGAAACCCACACCACCATAACCATCACCATCACCATTACCAACAGCAATAGTAGTAGTAATAGTAATAGTACTAGTAGTAGTAGTAGTAGTAGTAGTAGTAGTAACGAAGCAAGAAGTGAGAACTGGCTTTTGCTAGCGTGGATTGAACAAACTCGTATTGGATCTCGTGGATGTGTGCGTGGGTCTTTGCAAGTGTGCAACGGGAGGAGAAAAAGAAAGAAAGAAAGAGAGAGAGAGAGAGAAAAGTATAGTCGGCTTGTTGGCGAGGTCGCCGGTGTGCCTGGCGAGAGGAACCCATCGCGTCTTGAGTTCTTTCAAGGAGGACTCATCGTCCAACTAGAAGAAGAAGAAGAAGAAGAAGAAGAAGAAGAGGAGGAGAAAAGAGTTGGAGCAAAGTGACTGGTACGACAAAGAATACAAATCAAAATAAGAAAAAGAAGAATAAGGAAAAGGATGTAACTTCTAACTCAATATACATTAATATATATATATATATATATTCTTCTTTCTCTCTCTCTCTCTCCTTCTCTTTCTTTTTTCGCTTGGACGAAGGCGGACAGAGTCCCGTAATCCTGAATGGCCGCCGCCACCGCTTTGTAGGTTACTGACGGACGCACGCGGAGCGAGAGGGAGCTCTTCGCGGCACTAGCGACACAGAAAGAGACGGGTAGAGCTTCTTTCGAGAGAACACGAAGAAGGAAGAAAGGAGAAAGAAAGAAAGAAAGAAAGAAATAAGGTAGACAGTCAAGCAAACCAACAAACCAACCCAAGCGAGCTAGGAGAGTAAAGGCTTGAAAGAAAAAGATAGTCAAATAGAAAGAAAGAAAGAAAGAAAGAAAGAAAAAAAGAGAGAGAGAGAGAGAGTACGGTCGGGTGCGCGTGTGCGCGCGCGCGCAACTAACGCTCATACATTCACACACGACTACCGATGTACGGACAGCAGCAACAGCAGCAGCGGCAGCAACAGCAACAGCAGCAGCAAGGTACGCGATCACCACCACCAGCCTGCAGCCGGTTGTCCACCGTCTCGGAAACCGCCGGTTTTCCGCCTACCTTGTCGTCATCGTTATATTCCCTCTCACATTTATATTATATATCCTTTTGCTAGTGCTCTCTCTCTCTCTCTCTCTCTCTATCTTTGTGTGTTGGTTAGTGCATTATCTTCTTTAGCACCACCTTTAATATTTCTACTACTATTACTACTATTATCATTACTACTACACCATCACCACCAGCACCAACCACCAATACTCAACCAGTATCGCGATTGTCATCGTTCGACGACAACGACAACGACGACGACCGACGACAACCAACGAGGCGTTGAGTTTGCCTTTTAAATGCAACCGTGATCATTTCCCACATGTTGTATGCATCCTTACGACGACGACAACGACACAACGACTCTACTACTACTACTACTACTACTACTATGATGACGATGACGATGACGACTTGGACTTGTACGTATCATTTTTGAATACGTTGCTTATTTTAATAATTTATTGTTTTATTTTCTTTTTTTCTTTTTCGAGACGGTTAAAACTAAAGTGCAAAGGACAATGACGATAGTTTACTTTATATGGCAATAATTTGTCTCTAGTTACGTGATAAAACATTTCTAATCAATTATTAATATATATCATAGTATATATATATATATCATAATAATCTAGATAAAATTTAGTATAATCGTGATAAACAATTTAATAAAGTTACTGTTTAAAAAGTATTGAGAAAAAAAAGAAAGAGAGAGAGAGAGAGAGAGATAGATAGATAGACAAATACACACACGGTGAATCGTGTGCAGAGTGAGTGTATAAAAAATATATATATATATATGTGTGACCATGTGTATGTGTATCCGTATATAATGTGTCTTCTTCTTCTCTACTCTCTCTATACGTGTACACCACGTCACTACTAGCCATCCCAGTAAGTAAGTACCTACAAAATCGTTTTGCCTCTCTGGAGAGTGCCGCGTGCGTGGAACTCGAGCAGTTTCTCGAAGCCGGTAGTACAGGGGAAAAAAGGGGGAAAGAGAAGGGGAGTATTGGGGGGGGGAGGAGGAGGAACAAATATATATAAACGAGGTGTAGTTTAAAGTAAGCTTGACTGACACTCTCGCGAAACAACTTGTGACGTTTAGGAAGGTTTGCTTTTTTATTTGTTTATTTGTCTTTATTTTAGGAAATTTCGAGTTTCTAATGTCAATTAATAATAATAATAATAATAATAATAATTTGTAATTTTTTTTCTAATCGTTTTTAGCAAATTTAACAGGTTCGTTAAATAATTTGTTTAATATCAATTGATATTTTCGATGAGTTTGAATTATTATGGGAGAGAAATATATATATATATGTATATATGGGGAAGGTTAAATAAGTTTATGGGTTGTTTCCCCCCTTTATATCCACTTCTCTCATTCGATCCTTCGAATCGACGAAGATTCGATCGTTTCGTCCTTGTATGGTTCTACGGATCGGGTCCGAACAACGCGCCATCTGTCTTTCTGTTCTTTCTTTCTCTTTCTTCCTTTCTCTCGACATTCTTCATCCTTTTTCTTTTTTCACCTTCTCTCTCTCTCTCTCTCTCTCTCTCTCTCTCTCTCTTTTTGTTTGTTTATATATTTAGTTTTGTTGTTGTTGTAAACTTTGATATAATACTTTTCGAATTACAAAAGGGTTGACGTAACATATATATATATTTATATATTATTAACCATGAAATTTTCAAAGTCAGTTTCCAGGAATAAACTTACATAGATATATGTTAAATATTTAAACTAAGATCTAGTTATAATATTCTATTAATATTCTATTTGTGGAAATATATTGAATACATGAAGAAATTAATGGTATATCAAATATATATATATATATATATATAAATATATATATTTATACAGGATAATTCGTGTAACAATTCATTCGTTGTAAATATTTTGTTTTTTTCTCTTTTATATCAATTACTTTTTCTATTTGTTCAAACAAATGGTTTCAAAATTGGTGTCCATTTGTACAACATGTATACTAGTTGCATTTACAAATGATCAATTTTTCAAACAATTTTTCGTTTTATATCAATTGTGTTAACTGTTAAACTGTTAATTGTAACTCACTTAAATTTGATGATTTTTATGCAAAAAAAAGAAAAAAAAATTCAATATCATATTTTAGTCATAAATTTTTTCACATGCAACATTTTCCTCATACACTTTTCTGTTGATGAATCAACCTGTATATTTATATGATTTATTTATTTCTTTTTTTTCTTTTTCTATAGTTGAATTATAATTCCAACACCGTGAAAAAAGATTATTAAATACATACATAATAACATTGGTCGTTCGTTAACCCAGGAAGATGATTTTATCTACGTGTTTTCCACGAGGTGTTCCGAAAAAGTCTATGTGATGATTCCTGCTTCCTCTTCCTTCTATTATTTTTTTTCTTTTTTTTTTTTAAATAGAACAAGACGATTCTTTAAGTTAAAGTGAAAGAGTTGATAGAAAGAGAAAGATAGACAGAAAATTGGTAGGTGGAAGAAGTTAGAGAGAGAGAGAGAGAGGGAGAGAGTAGAACAAAGGCAATTTCGACGGTCAATACGCTCCTCCTGTTATGTATACATGTGTGTGTATGTATGTATATGAAATGTATAATACGCTTACGTGCCTAGTACGTTCTCACACATATACCACATGTTC